GCAGAATCAAATTATTCTTCATTATTTTGAAGGTTAAAAGTTGTGAAATGGCATTCTTACCATAGACATTGTCAAAGATCTAATTTGTGTGATCCGTATTTACGAAACTGATTTTGTACTTGCTTTCAATTCAGGTTTGGGATAAAAATACGACTTGTTTGCTTTTTTGAAATCTAGCGTGTACACAACATTGTTTTTGTCATGTACCGCAGAAAGTTCCTACCAAATCACTGGTTAATTCATGTTTTACAGTCAGCCGTTTATCATAATGTGAAGAAAATGTCTGCATTCGTTCTTGCTCATTAAAAGTGGAACCATTTTATTACATATTAAATCTAATGAAATTTCATGGTCCTAAAAGTAGAATTAATAGTTAAACATGCCATTATAATCATTTATCAGGAAAATGATGCATTTTATAAAAGTCCTAGAGGTTCACTTTAAAACATATTTGTTGATTCATATTATTATTTACAGATTACTTAATTTTTGCACGCAGAAAATATTTTAGTATCCTAACTTGGAATGAAATAACCAGTGAATGGTAGAATTGCTGTTAAGTTCTAACAGCTGACTGAAAGCTGTTGAGTAATTTACCGGTCAAGCGCTGTGATTCAACACTGAGTGTTTCAGTTCCAAATCTCTCTCTCTCTCTCTCTAAATTTTCCTACAGTTTAAGAAAACTACTACTGATGAAAACCGATGAATATGAAGGCTAAGCTAACAGTTTTTCGCTGACTGACTTCCTGTATCTAACTAACACCAATCTACCGTTTTACTTCTCAAGTTATGTTCGATGAGAATTCAAATAAAATACTTGCATACAGCACCGTCATGTCCAAAACCCACTTCATTTATGTTAGCGATTTCTACTGGAATCTGTAACATTCTATCATATCCATCGAGTAATAATCAGATTTCAAGAACAAACTATAGCAAACACATTCAGCTGCATACACTTAATTAGTATAGATAGCATAACGAACGACATAGGACAATTATATCTCCCATTAGTCAAGTAGTCTTAAATAGTTGGATATGATTTTCATCAATTGATGTATTGAAAGAGGTTAAAACTACTAAAGTGAGATCTGATATTCACCGGCTAAATCAACGCATCCATATGAGAGTCCACTTGCCGATAGAAGGTTCATCAATTGGATCCAAATGAGTCAACAACGGTAAATAACAAGTTCTAAAGTATCAAATCTGATTATCTTTGGTTTGTATACAGTAGTTGTACTGTTTTTAATGGAACAAAAAAATATCTCCATTTATACCCCTTGTGTATAATAACTACAACGCCTATAGACTAAAACGGTATTCACTATTTCTGAAGTTAGATCTTTTAAGGAACAAATCTTGTTACGGGAGTGAAGTAATAGAATTCATTTAAACAAAAACCATAAGACTAACCATAAACTGAAAAGCGAAGTAAGTCATCATATGGTTATATTTACTTGAGGTTTAATTTTGGCATCGACGAACAGGTAACCAAAGAAATTGTGATCACTGATTAATGAGAATATGCTCATTGACATAATTTTCTACAACTACAATTACTTAAAGTTTAAAAATAAATATAAATTACTGAAAATACATTAGTAATTGTTTTTTGTATGAATCCTAGTCAAGGTTTGACCGGACAGTTTCACATATACTAGGTCCTGAGTGAAAGATAACATCGGATATAAGTTATATTTAGACGAATATCAGCGTGTGTTTTCATATTTTTTTATCCCAGACATGCTGAGATTTGTCGAAATGCATTATATAAATAATTACTGTTCATTTTTGAAATGTAGAGACGATTCATTCAAAAACACAGTATCATGAATGACAACTATAGCTGTTTGTGGTGATCAAAAATGTTGATAATGGTCACCTAATCTTTACTGACTGAGATATCTGTTAGACATGGCTCTCATGTGCAAAATACACAAGAGGGTTGTTAATTCTGTAAAATTATCTATTGGCAATGAACGTGTTATTACAGATATTTGATAAGAGCAGAATAGCACTGTTGTGGTAACTATCCAATTAAAATCATTAGGAAGTAATACTTTCAAAATGAAAGAAATGTAGTTACATTGTTTTTGGAACAATTTTTTCATGTTTTTATCTTAGTCTGTATTGTGTATGTATTCCTCCATTGCATAGTAGTACATAAAATCATGTATACAAAGAAAAAAAGCTGACAAATCTTAATAAAATCTATGAATTCAGTAGATCCTGCCTTAATAACATCTGTCACTTCTTTTAAATATGTATCAATCAACAAATATTTTCAATACGTTTATCAGATGAGATTCTTCCTCCAAAAAATGTGGTAGAATATGGGTAATTGCTTAATGAATTCTAAGACAACGGAAATAACAAAGTTCTGATCAATGTGTTGCATTCATACTCCTACAAGTCAGGTTACTATTCAACATAACTCATCAGGCAGTCATAACATCATAAAAGGGTGCTTCTGTCATTATAGTAGTATCCATGCTTGTCAACACAGAGTCGATGGTTATTTTCTGTACTGTACTAGTGAGTTATTGAATGAACAGTAAGAGTTTGTAGCTTGAACGGAAAGCTTTTCAAAAAACAGAATAAACAACATTTATATCTTAATCTATCACATATTTTATTTTCAATATCTAACATTAAGTAGCTTTGTTAGTTTAAAAAAATGCTTAAAATTTCATAGAATCTAAAAGTCGAACTTTCTCTGATGCCGTTGACTTTCAGCCGAAAGTGAGAAAACCCAAGGTATATCCATAATGTTAAATATGTAGATGTAACTGAATGTTATATCTATCAAAAACATGCTATTAGCACATTAACGTGGAAAACAATACTCAAAATCAGATGCTAAATTTTGATCTAAATTTCAGTTTCAATTCATTATCACGTCAATTTCATCATTTCATTTCGAATGGCTGAATCATCCACGTACAACTTTGGTTCAAATTACTTGTAATTGTGAAAGCTTTATTTTTATTTCAACCTACACTATAATGAATAGTTAGTAGTGTCGCAAATGCTGGTCACATTTCATGTGTTTTAAGATTCGTGAAATGTTTATTCAGCTTAGTTTAAGGAGACGGCTAGCTTTATTTACTTTCACCTCGGTTCTGCTGTGCATTTAAATAACATCTGAAGCAATTGCAGAATCACTCAAAATGCTTTAATCTACAGGACTAACTTATGATAGATGGCTTCTAAATTCTCTTCACCAAACTATTAGAGGTTTGCCGTATAGAAACAGTTTATAGACTTAAATGAGCTCAATTATTCTGTATACAATTGAAAGCCGTTGTCATTAGAAGTAACCACCTCAGCTTAAACACACAAACGGTTTTACCTATTTTGATGAGTCCATGGACTCACTTATTTGTATCACGAAAGATGAAAATCTAGTCTTCCAAAATCTCTTTGTAGGGATAAAATTGTTACATTTATTGAATAAGGAATACGGGATTTACCGATTTATAATTTGAGTAAAAACATATTGTTAGAAAGGATATAAATATTACCTTTTTCTCCTCATACATCCTCTTGGTTTTAAATATGAACCGTGTATTTATGACGTTGCTTGTCAAGATCATTCTGACTGAGAACAATTTCGAGAAAACAACAGCAGTAAAATATCGATTGGTACTTTAGTATATAATTCTGACAAATTCTAAAAAGTGAATGGTACCTACCAGTCTAACGTGAAAATGATTACTTCCTGGTGTCAACTGAAGCATGAACTAGATTTCAGTATTGATTACAATTATAAACTGTCACTTTTCAAATATCTAAATAAATATCTTCAGGCTGTTCTTTTACGTACCTTATTGCCAAAAAACAAATTTGAAATGAATCAAAGCAAATAAAGGTAAACTCTTTAGTTGAGTAACCACCGGATAAAAGTGAAGAATAGACAAACAGTTTTCGTAACTTCCGATTTCAATATGTTAAAGATATCATGGTCATATATATTCCATGATATCATCAATATACCTTCCTATTTCTTCAATGCATTTGAAACAGCTAGTTTTATGATGTACTGATAAGGTTCATTCACTTTCGAAGGCGAACACTTTCGGCAAACTGATGATATTGCTATGGGGAGTCCATTAGGACCGTTATTAGCTGATATACATATGTCAAGTATTGGACTAATGGCTCAGGATTTAATCACTAATGTCACATTCTATAGAAGGTATGTTGATGATATCTTTGTAATATGTGACACATATGAGGATGCCAGGGGTTTGCTAAAAAGGCTTAATATCGTACAAAATCATATCAATCTGACATTTGAGGAGGAAAAAGATCATCAACTTGCATTTCTTGATATACTCTTGCGTCGGAGGGAAGACAGATCTTTCAGACGATCAATCTATAGAAAGCCTACTTGGACAGGACAGTGCTTGAGTTTTTACAGCTTTTGTCCCATGAAATATGAGAGAGGCTTAGTAAGATGCTTATTCAACGTATTTGTACATCTGATAAGATGGATGATGAGAGGAAATTTCTGACATACACACTTATGCAAAACGGAAATCCATTACAGTTTGTGAACAGTTGCCGCTGTTAGTACAAAACAGTTTATTGTTTCACTGATTATATAACCAAGATTAGTGTCACAACCTTTTCATATTCATTATATTTGACCTTTAATTTTTCCTTTCGTTTTTATATATAAATTGACTTAACAAATAAATATGTGATCAGATCGTTCGAAATGTATTGTGCAAATACATCAAGTTCTTCAAATAATCTTCGTCTTCCAACAGCGTTATTGAAATATGTTAAAAGGACTAATTGTTTCAAATAAAATATTTATTTAATTCACGAGATTCTAGGCCGTCTATACCAACTGGTCACATGCAAATTATAACCCCAATCTGTTTCATATGACTTGACTATCGATTTTGAATGGAAGCTTGTTGCAGTACATTCACTATGAATTTGACTTGTTATAAAGAAAACCGAGAAAAAAGTACAACACGATCATTCAAGTATTTTTTTTCTTCTCATAGACAGCTAGACTTTATATTACGATTTATAGAAAAGTTATCACAGTAATTATTGTTAGTTATAATTCAAGTTACAGATATTATCAGGCTTGAAAAAGAGTGTCTAAAGTTGATAGGAAATCATTATTCGTTAATGTTTATACAATGAATTAATTTTACAAAACACCCACTCTTGATTTAGAATTTTGTGTATGTACGTATGTATGTATACGTTTGTTGGTATGTGTAAAAGTGGATCCAGTAATATGAATAAAAATATCTGACAAAATATGGGAGCACCTCATACATACTTGAAACATGCAGTGTGTAAATCATCCATTTTCGACCATGCCACCATGTGTCAATGTTTATTTTTGTGGAGGACCAATTATTGACCTTTCACCTTCTAGGTAAACTACCAAGCCAAAATTCTGTATGGGTGGATGAATGAAAATAGAATATGGTTAAAACAGGATGATTCCGTACCAATAGGAAAAAGGGATACACTTGTGTAAGAAATTGACTTTGACTGAATAAATTAAATTTTGAGACAGACTTATAGTTCTTCTAAATTTGTTAGACCTAGTGTTTAGATTGACTTTAAAGGCCACTCTAGCAACAACTGAAATAAGCAACCAGATTTCTCTATTTTATGAAAATCTGCCTTCTAGCCAAAATGAAGAAACTTAATTGGTCGTTTCGATGGTTACTAGGTGGCCTTTAAAGTCGTTCCTAATGATTAGATATATCGAAAGTAGGATGAAAACCATCTCAATTATCACCAACACCAATTATGTAAGGTGTCGATAAAGTAGATATTAGTTAATTGGAAACAATCCATAAAAAGCTCTGTCCAATCGGGGCTTCCTGTTCATAGGCACTCATCAGTAAGGCATATCTGTAACTTCAAGGGGATTGATGTTCTCTGAGAGATCCGAATCAGCATAACCCAGTGATGCAGTCAGAGACTTTACCACTTAGTTATTCGGCCCGATGGTGAGACTTCGTGACCACACTGCGAAGTTAGAGTCAATAGAATTCGATCAGCACTTAGGAATAGACAATATGACCAAAGAATGCACTTAACAGCGTTACAATAACTTGATTACCTGAACACCATCGAATGTCTGGCATTTCTATGAATTCTAGTTATTAGATACTGCTGCAACTAGTGAGTGATCGAAAGCGGGCTCTGAAATATAGAATCACTTGGTTTAGTTACGTTTCTTCAAAACTAACCGAAATTATTCACTTAGCACCAAAGTATGGACAGTAGGATCACTAGTCACTAGACTTTTCTTGTCTTCTTAACCGTCACTAGCACTAACCTAAATGTGAACTGAGGCAGTGGGAATTTCACATAACCAATTCCGTAGCCTTTGTGAAAAAATTGACATGTGACTGGTAGTCCTCTTCATTTGTTGCGTCACTGACTGCAGAGATTTTCTTATTGACTGTTTTTCTGCTAGATCTTTGACTTTGCATTTGTCTGTCAATTTTGTTGTTGGTGAGTGAGTTGAGTATATATGCATACATCTGTTGATTACTAATTGACCTGAATATAAACCTTCTGGGGATTCTCTGGAATTCTTTATACTTCTTCTTTCCCAGATGTATACATCGTCATAATTGAACTGGCTATGTTTCCTCATATTCATTGAGATACATAAAGGATGAAATGTCATGACGTTTAATAGCCAGCCGACATTCACATTTTCGACGACAAAGAGGGTGAATGGTTATTCCAATGTGGTTTTTATCACAGTTGTTGCTTCTGCTTTTGTTAATGACATTTTGTTTGTCTTCTTTAGCTGTTGCATTTTCCGATCTGTATGATATAATCTATGGGTGATAAGTTAGATCATGAGCTACACAAATTCCAAATGGCTTCCGTTTCGTTATCGTGATATTTCATGTATCCTTTATCAACGATAAAATGATGCACTGGCTGAATTCTGTGGATGACTTCGTAGTTGATAGTGAGTTGGGTAGATATCTTCTGATAAGCTTGCGTAAGTAACCGTCTTTCTGTAGGTTAGTTAACAGTTACTTCTCTTCGTTTCTCCATGAACCGGTTGTAACTTTACTCTTTTGGATATATTTTAGACCTGACTAGTTTTGTGCATTATTGGGTTGCTGCCACCGTAGCTGAGAATTCGATTTCCGTCAGTTTTCTCTGAACTTCTCTCTCCAGTTGTTTTGTGTTAATTTTACTTACTAAGACATCCAGGAATGGTAGTCTATTGTTATACTCCTCCCCTTCTGTTAATTTGATGTCTTTAAAAATGTGAAAACAAACTGCTTATTTGTTTTGAATATCTAGGAAGAGACTTCCTTACTCTGTTTATAAATTAAGTGCCGTAGATCAAAATAATTCATCATTAGTACTCTGAAGCAGCTCAAGTGTTCACTTGTTTGAAATTATTGAAGTTTAGTGGCAGGCAAATGATTGTTAATGTAATTAGAAGACGTAGATTATCTGAAAAATGTGATGAATTAGAGCTATACATTTCGAACAATCTGATCACACATTTACTTGTCAAGGCATTATATATGAAAAGTGGAAGTGGGGAAGGATACATATGACATAAAGGAATTCAATAAGAAAGATAATGAGAGGAATAAAAGATAAGACTTGAAGACAGTCTTGGTAATACGATAAAATAAGCAAAATAGGCAAAGTAATTTACTTAGATTAATAGTACATTGTATGAAGATTTCTGATTTTGTGGTGATCTTGAGATCGAACCAACAAAATTGTTTAAATCTCTCGTTTATTTAATTAAAATAAGCATCATATTTATCCTTCCGATAGGTCATATTTGCAGTGGTAAAGGCATACGAACCGTTTTAAGTTTATTGACAGAGTGGACATTGAAAATTTCAATGTAACTAAACCGTTGATATCGTACCGTCATCAGCCAAACATTTGCGATGAAAACTGGTAGGAGTAATAAATGCTTAGCTGAATATATAGTTTTTACATGATATATTGTTTGTTTTCTGTATGTAATGCAATATAATTCGAGTAAGATTACTAAAAGGGCTGTCTCGATTTAGTATACAAGTATATGAATAATGTTTACTCTTTAAATTTGATAACGCTCAAGTAACATTTGATAACATAATAACTGAGCAAATGTTTGATTTACGGCTTCTTTTTAAAAATGCTAATCATAAACTAAGTTGTCGTTTGAACAATATCTTGATTATTCTAAAGTAAAACTAGGTATAACTAAAAATTTTATCGTGAACTTACTATCTGAGTTACGTAATCTGGATAGAGGAAACTGATTATTATTACTGCTATTATTACTATTATTATTAATCGACTTAAAATTTGTATATTGGTTTATTGAGTGTATAGCACTTGTTACAACTGGAAGAATCTGTGGACTGAATGAATGCTGATTACCAGAAACAGAGTATGCATTTTCTTGTTTAGTTATACCGGTTGTGCTGCTCGACGAAAGTGACTTTTTAAATATATTTTGTTGAGATAAACTCTGTAGTGGTGAGCGTGATGAAAAGTACACTTGGCCAATTAGATTACGTGAATCATTCTGTTCATGATTAGGTTGTTCATGATAATACTCGAACATATTTGGTGAAGGCATAATACCTATTGGATGGAGTACTGAGAAATGGTGACTGTGACTATGACAGTGATTCCCTATGGAATTGGAAACGGGTTGAGAAACTGAATGACTGATATTCATTGGGAATTGTAGAGAAAATGTTGATCGTCTGTGATTGGGTGGTTGATAATATCGTCGACTCTTTGAATCTCTAGGAATTAAAAAAATATATATATATATATAAACGAATTAATTGTCACTTTTAAAGCTTGCTTTGTACGCTTTAATTGCGAAAAATTTCACATGGCTGTGAAATATTTTCGCAATCACAAGGTAGATGTTAAGCAAACACGTTTTTTCCAACAACAAGTGACTGGTAGTCTCAAAAGATTTGTGATTAAATTATTTAGATTTTGTTTATTGGGAACTATGAGTATCAGACTGGAGAGTGATTTAATTCGCTTGTATGTGTGTATCCTAGAGGTTGAAAGTACTAACAAATAGCTTGAAGTAGAGTGTTTGAAAGTTTGATAAAGATGTAAGACAAAGCAAGTATTTTTGACAAGCATGTAGCAAAAATTTATCATCTAATAGCAAATTACTAGTTTTAAATATACCTAAACATATTCTTACACTCAGTCAAGAGACCTGTAATTTACTGATCATAACTACCGATTGCTGTAGACTGATCGAGCTTATATTCTTTATTTACACATTCGCTGAAAATGAGACAATTTCATATAGCCAATGAAATTTTTCTCTAATTATAGACCACTTAATGAACTTTTTAGATTTGGCTGTGACAAGTGAAGTTTATTTGGTATTAACCAAATAACACATTTACATTTGTCTTACAATTATCATGTAGTGAACATTCCGTCTTTTGGTGAAATCATTTATTTTACGAACAAAACAGTTAAAACATGTCTTGTACATTCAACTGACGTCACTCTTATTATGATTTGTTGTCTGAATAGAAGTGAACCAGATATACGTTTTATGAAGAAGAATTGGGGGTGCGGGGTAGAGGAAAAGTGAGAGGGTAATAAACGTCGACTGACAAAGATTGCATTAGAAACTAGAAAATACCATCAAATTGATTTTAGGTGACTTGAAGTGAAGTGGGCAATTTATTTGTGCTGTTGAATTTGATTAAGACGTTAACACCAAAAGCAACAATCTACTTTTCTTCACAAAACGTATATCTGGTTCTCTTCTGTTCAGACGTCAAATCAAAATAAGAATGACGTCAGTTGAATGTACAAGAGGTCGAAGTTTATTACTCGGCACACTTCTCCCCCCCCCTAATTTATTTAGGGAGGAAAATAGAAATTGGAAATGAAGAATGATTGACTGATTCCTCTGTTTAAAAGTCAATGTGTTTGTGTAGTCAAGATTCTTTCTTATTGAACTAGGACACTTACTTGTAGGAATCTGATTAGTTGGGCCAGATAAGCTATCTGTATTTCGCCTAGCTTAGAAAATCATCATCATTTGTCACATTAAATCTGTTTTAAAAAAGTAATCGCCATCAGGTAAAGATTAAATCCAAAATGAATTTAAGATTTGTAGAAAATGTCGTCCTATTTGGGACTTGGTTTGTTGGACAACGCTCTGGCGTTCGAAGCTATGGGTACTGAGTTTGATCCACAGTGGGAACTACATCACTCATTGGGGTGCAGGTACATCCGGCTGATGAGTCCCGAGTAGGACGAAGTGCGCGTCTTTGTAGTCCCCAAGATCAATATGTATTGAGTGTAATTTATAACTGTAACTGTAAAATCTAAATCTTAAATGTATTAATAGAAAGTTTGCACATAATGATAAGTTATTAATTTGGTATTAATTCGAACAAAATTACTGCCCGTGACTGAACCAACTGTTGTAATACTTTCAGAATAAGTTACTGAAATAAAGCTTACTATTGTTTGTAAACTTTCCATTGAAAATGGACTGACAATATATTATTCAATTCCACAATACACAATCTTTTCATCAATATATTTAAATCCTTGTAGGAATACACTACTAGCTATAATGACAGAGGGGAAACTATTATATTTCAGCTGTGATTAAGTGACAGCATTTATTTAATTTCTAAGAAGTGGTAGTGTATAGGAATTCTTGTTATTACCAAATAACTACAGTAAATTGGTTTATGAATACTGTGTATTTAATATTTTGTGCAAAAGGAAAAATACAAGGATTTTTGGCGACGCTTTCAATGTTAACAATTTCAGAAAGTATCTTGAGTTCACTTCTTACATTCACTGTGTCTAGTTAATGCATAGATTCCATCGAGAACTTTTCTAGTTGACAAAATGAAACTTCCAAAATGGAGCAGACCAACAGCAAATTTACGCACAGGTCATACCATAGGTGCATTGTTGTTTGAAAATGGAAATGTCGGTTTCCGAAGTATTTAACTCATAGAATGTGGATGTTTAGAACTAATATGTTGTGATACCAACGAAAAAAAAAACGAAGACATTAGTAACATGGATACTTTATTCTGTCACAATAACGACCATTCCAAAGTTTTACATGAGATTGGAATAGGCTAGCCCTAGTAACCTTTTAATTTCATCCCATACCTAGAGTTCCGATGACTAGGATAAATAATGTTACCTTAAATTTTTAGTGCTGAAGATAATTCACTGAGGTAGGTCATTTAAAGCAATATTTTGTCAGCAATCATCTCTCCGCATATTTGGATATTCGGATAGGACCATGTTAACTAATACGTAACATAATCGAACGCTACTCAAGATGATATTGCAAATAATTGAAGTCGCTTAGTAACTAAAATGTTTTAGGATTACAGAGGTAGATGATGTTACCCTAGACATTGACAATTAAAAATCAAGCCTCAATTGATCAGTTATTTAGTCACCGTGGCGTACTGGAGACGAAACGAAGTTTGAATCTAGTTGCTAAGATTAGTGAACGTCGCTCAAGTTGGCACAGCAACTAAATGAATGTGATCAATTAGTGAAAAATTAGTTTCCCTAAATTAATTTCGATTAAACAAGAAGACGTACCCTGTCTGAATCACGAGTTGAGTAACATGACGAAATATTGATGAGTGAGTTGTAATCAATGTGGCTAGTAGTTGTAGTGGTAGTTGATACCATTTTGGAAATGGAAATAAATATTTGGTGGAAGGGGGATAGGTATTAAAAGGCATAGTTGCTAGGACTAGTGAGTGTCCGTCAATAACCCTAGCATAGAAACTAAATTAATGTGATCAGTTTGAACCAATCTGCTTCCCTTCAATTAAAGAACACGTAGTTTTGTCTGAATAACGAGCTGAGTGGTAATACGAACACCAATGAATGAGTGACTTGTAAGTCGAAGTGCGTATGGAGTATTATTTATTACTATTATTTATCCCTTGGGTTCCTTGTGGAATATAGGGCTTCAGTAGCACATCTCCATTCCTCTCTCTTCTCTGCAAACTTTTGAACCTGGCTCCACGACTGCCCACAAGCTCTCATTTCTTCCTCACACGATCTCCTCCATGTCAACCTTGCCTCGGACACCCAACTCGCCGTTTCCCATCTGGCTTCCACTCCAGTGCCTGGCCTGGCGCGTGATGTCCACGAATGGTCTTCTCAGTGCATGCCAATCCATCTCCACTTCCTTCTGCATATTTTTTTGAGCGACAGCTTCTTGATTGGTTGTTCCCAGAGTTCCTTGTTGCTTATTCTTGTTATTCTGGCCATCTGATCTTCACTAACGAGCCAGCGTAGGCAGTTGTTGATGAATGTCTGTAGTTTGTTGGAAATGCTTTTCGTAACGCGCCGAGTTTCTGAACCAACTTGTTAGTTTTTCCTGTAGATCTTAGAGTTTGTGTGACATTAGACACAAGTCATCGGCGAAATCCGAGTCTCCTGGGTTCTTTCTCCCGGTCCAGCGTATCCCCCTCTTCTCGCTCCTCACTGCTTGTTGCGTGATCCAGGAAGATCATCGGTGATAGTAGGCGACAACCTTGTCTTACTCCTGTCTTCACTTCAAAGGTGTCACTAAGCTTCCCATTGTGAATCACTTCGCATGTGTCGTCTTCATATAGTTGTTGAATGAGATTGATAAAGGTTTATGGTATTAAAACCGTAGTGTTGAAGCACCTGCCCGCCAAATTACTTCTCGGTCGACGCTGTCCAAGACCTTTTCAAAGTCGATGAATCTGAGGTAAGGTGAAGAGTTGACTAGCATTCTATGCTCTGTTCTATCATGATGCGTAACGTTGCAATTTCATCCGCACAGGATTTGTTCTTCCTGAAGCCATCCATCCATCCTGTTCCGGTCGTAGTTTTGAATCCAGGGTATTGTTTAGTCTCTCCAGGATGATGCGACTTAACATTTTGCTTGCTTTGGGTGGACAGGGACAGCAGTATGATTACACGCCAGTTCTTGCAAATACTTAGGTCTCCATTGTTTGGAAGTTTGACAAGGTAGCCCTTCTTCGAATCTCCAGGTGCCTTTCCTCCCTTTATTCCAAACCTTCTGCAGTAGTGGTGTGAAAATGTCCACCGTCGTCTCTGCATCTGTTTTCAGTGCTTCTGGGGGAATTCCATCTGGTCCTGCTGCTTTCTCGGATCTCAGCAACTTTATGGCGTTCAGGACTTTGGCTCTTGTCAGAGGGCTTGTGTTCACTGGTAGTTCTGTGGCTGTGCAGCTGGTGATTTTTCTGGACGAGTTCCAGGTGGTGGTTGATTCAAGAGTTTTTTGGAGTGGTCAACCCATCGTTTCCCTTGTTTCTTTTCTTCGGTAATTAGAGTGCGTATGGAAATAAGTAGTAATTAATAATATATAGGAAATGTAAGGAGATGTGGAAATTCAGAAAAGCAAAGCTCCTGCTTTTTTTCTGAACTGTACATAGTACCCAATTGTAGCTTCTATTAGCTATAGCTGACCACATGTACATTTAAATAAGTAACTAAAGTGGGATGTGACTCCATCTTTCACCTGTTCCAAGAGCTTCGATGGGTATATAAACTTCAACTTTTCAATTATCCGAACTTTAGCTGAACAATAAGTAGTTATCATCCTCTGTCCTACATTTAAACACGACCTACTATTTTGTAATACATTCATTCGGTTGATAAATGAAGTAGTTAACTATGAATAATCACTTCTGATTTATTAAAAGAACGAAAGAAGTCATTGAAATCACATTACTGTTCGTCGATGTTCATGGTCAAACCGTCATCCAAAGTTGACTTCTTGATGGGAAAAGGGATGCGGTTGATTTCGAAATGTAGTTTTACACTGGCACATTGTGCTGCTCATTCTGTCACATCATCCAACGAAGAGAGACGTTAGCTGAGTCTAGAGGGATATTCTTTTGTATACAGTACTTAATTATATACCTGCATGGCAAGTTGTACTTGGCATAATGCAGACGAAATTCATCGACAGTTACCTGTTATGAAAGCACCCACTCTACGGCTTCCAATAATATTCTTAAAAAATCTCAGAAATGCACCAATCAGTCCTGATGTCTCACTGCTTATGAAAGCAAAAGCTGTAGGAATAGCCATGAAGTTGATGTCAATGGCTACGAACTCATACAGAAAAGGGTTCTCATTATTAGTCTTGTAAGTACCATCGAAACCCAGAAGATCAATGCAGCCGTGCCGGATATTAGCAATGGCCTTATGCTCTCCAATTTAATTCCCGTTAACTTCCGCGCCCAAAAACTATTGTCATAAAGCAGGGAATTGCGGGGATGATTGTGAGTTAATAGCAACCGAGTTACTGTCCAGAAACCTTCTAAGAACTTTGTGAGCCTGAACGCCCGACAAGAACCTTTCAGGGATATTCTACGAAATATATAATCAAAACAAACAGAACTGACCTTCTTGTCACTACACCACCTACTGACTGGCGTTTACCAGTCTTAAAGAAAACAGGCTTGACGTAGACTCTTCGACCACCATGTAAATGTGAATCTCGCACAACGTAGTGCGTGTACGTCCTTCAAAGACTCTGGCGAGACAAAAACGCTCCATAAAGATCGGTTCGTCTTCCGTTACAACATTTTGGATGGTATTGTCACTCATCAGTTTGCTCTGTTTTATAGTATTTTTCGATTTCGTGCAACCAATCAAGTGGGATGTTTTCTTGTCCATTTTGATTGGACAACAAGTGATATAGGGAGTGAGGGGGAATAGGTAGCAAATAACGCTTTTGAAAACTTACTACCGTGGACCGAATGTATTTCATCTTTATTCATGTAGTAGTATTGATACAATAATGCAGTCTATCAACCAGCTCCCAAGACTTGAACACTGGTTGTGCCTTTCCAAAAAGATTATGGTCAGCGTTTTCTTGAAGTAAGATTCTTTACTTGCTCATCTTGACGTTTGCTCCGTTTTCCAAATCTGAAAGCCCTTACTTCAACAAATGAGTCCAAGAGATAATATTTAAATTCTGGTGATATCAGTTTAAAGATTGTTCGGTTTCCTGAATTCAAATTTTGTGCACAAAAATTCTGAATCCATGCAGTAAATCTGAACATATCGTTCAACAACTTTTGTCCTCAGTGTTACATCTGATATGATAAATGGAGGTTCCAAAAGTGCAAACAGGCGATAAATGAATACAAACTAAAAAATAAGGCAAATGGTTTTAAATATAAGAACGTAAAGTTTTGATAACCAGTGTATTGTGACCACAAAGGTTTATCAAGCTATCAGTGTTAGCACAGTTAACTACTGGTTACTATTATTTATATCAAGTTGATTTTTATCTATACAACCTTTAAAAATGTTCGACTATGTCAAGTTAATAAGTGGCATTTAGCATTTTGGTATTTCGAGTTCATAAATAACAATTTTTTTATTTCTTAGGCAACATAAAGTTAAGTAGATACTTATTTTTATTAAGTTCTCTAGAAGTTCATAATGTTGCGAAACACACTTTCAGTAACATAAAAATGGGTGTTTTTAACCTTTAGCCGACTCATTAGTAAGATATTGTAGAAGTTTTGAACTCCATATACCATTTCTGCTTGTTATTTAAGTCCTCATTATGCAAACTAATAGCTTGCTGAAACCAGAATAATAGTCATGAAGTCTCAAGGTACACCACGAAGCATTTTATGACTAGAACGAATTCATAGGGTTGGATATTCCATCTACAATCGTACAAGTCAGGGAATGAATTGTAAAATGTGGTCACTTTTAAATTCTATTTAGAAAAAGGAAACTAACTTCGATGAGTTACTCGCATTAGATGAACTTGTTTGAGTGGTCCATGACTGAACAGGGATGGACGTAGAGGAAGAGAAGCTCGTAGACTGCAAGACAGTGCGGTTGTCATGTTTTCCAGTAGTTTGGATGTAGGTAGCTAATGGAGACAACGACGATACTCCTACTCCAGAAGCAATATACCCATAACTGTTCATATTCGTATCATCTGTCATAAGTGACTTTTGAGGATTTTGATGCAACCCACGAAAATATTGGGGACAAAAATGATGGCTGTTAGCCTGGGTTGAAGTGAGATAAGGTAAAAGTTTGCTTGAAGTCAATTCTTTGGACTGAAAATCTCCAAACTTTGTGTCCAGTGGTTTGCGAATGGAGGGTTCAGTAACCACTGAAGAAGAGTCAGGCTGTTCATTGGCAACCTCAGTAACCTATATTAGAAGACAAAATAATGCTGTCACTGAAAAATGATGAAAATATGGGTTATTGCATGAAATCAGCTTATATATTGCAGCAAAAACAATAAGATTAGGAAATAATATGGGGAAGTGAATCTTTCTTCTTTCTTTCACAAATAACACTGTTGTAAGTTTATGTTAGTACCTACATATAATACAAGATCAAGTGCCTGTAGCCAGAATAAAAAAAGTGTATATGTTTCAAGATTGTTGGATATTAGAAAGACACTAACCCAACGCTGTAGTTATCAACAATGACTAAACTAGTTACAGCCAAAAAATCTTGTAGAAAAATAGGTATTGACGGTTTAATCAGTTTTATAACATCCAGGAACTGCATACGGTTTGAGTTATGAAATCAGTTGAGTCAATCGCAAAATTTTCTGTGTTCTATAACAGGCTATCAAAACTTGTTTGCACTCAGGTTAAGTTAAACAGACTATACTTGGATCTAAAACATAATCCTAAAAATATTCTCAATGTTGCTTTCATAATATGCAGTTCGCGTTATGGTGCATATAAAAATATTAACTTTATTAGAAGCTGATAATTACTTGATTGCAAACAACAGATATATAAAAGTGAGTGAAAGTGATCAATTGATCACAAACTATATCACTTCGTCTTTTGATGATTATTAGTCAGTGAAATACCGATAGTGAAATTTTTTGTTAGGCAAGAAGCAAGCTGAATCTGAAACGAATTCCTGGACTGTAAAAGCAAAGTTATGTGAATAAATTATTTACCGTCAAGCTTGAGAAGTTCAGAAGTTTAATAATCACGTGTAGATGTATCTATAGGTGAAAAGAGTCGTCTTTCAACCGAGCACATCAAAGTTTCACACTCCATTTGTTTTTGAAGCCATTTTTTAAGTACATGTCCCTCCACCCTAAACTTTATGCCTCGACTACTTTCTATGTGTGATCACGCATATATATCTAGTGACATGAAGGTTAAATTCAATTCCATCAGTCTATTTATTTCATATCCTAAATCAAGCGATTTTAATTTAGTGGCACTGCAGTATGCCCAAAAAATGTTCGAGACATATTTGGATAAGATAAATATTTTAAAGTAGATGCTTGAAAAGAAATCAGTTCAATTAGTCACACTTCACAACAGCTTAAAAGAGGAGGTGAACAGAAGTGAAATTTTACTGGGATGAACGGCAAAAATATGGGAAGGGAGAATAAAAATCTGTTATGATCAAATGCTTAAATTTTCCGGGATGGTGAAAAGTGCGAATACCCGTTCATTGTGATTACTTTCAGGCTACGTCAGCAACAGCATGTCTGATGTGTCATAACTTTATAGGGACAAATCCAACTGCCGCCTAGTATATTATTATTATTATTATTAGTCCCTTGGGTTCCTAGTGGAACATAGGGCTTCAGTAGCACGTCTCCAGTGACCTCTGTTCTCTGAGATCTTTTGAACCTGGTCCCATGACAGCCCAGCAGCTCTCATTTCTTCCTCGCACGACCTCCTCCATGTCACCCTTGGACGTCCAACTCGTCGCTTCCCATGGGGATTCCACTCGAGGGCCTGACGCGTGATGTCCTCCGTCGGCCTTCTCAGTGCATGGCCAATCCATCTCCACTTCTTCCTGCATATTTGTTGAGTGATAGGTTCTTGGTTGGTTCGTTCCCAGAGTTCCTTGTTGCTTATTTTTTCTGGCCATCTGATCTTCAGCAGCGAGCGTAAGCAGTTGTTGATGAATGTCTGTAGTTTATTGGAAATGCCTTTCGTGACGCGCCAAGTCTCTGAGCCATACAAGAGCACTGACTTGACGTTGGTGTTGAAAATCCGTATCTTGTTCCGCATGCTGAGTGCAAAAGATCTCCACACTGGTTTCAGGCTAATGAACGCCTGTCTTGCTTTTCCGATTCTGACTTTGACGTCCTCGTCCGTCCCGCCTGTAGTTGAAACAGTGCTTCCTAGATAAGTGAAGGAGGTTACTTCCTTTAAGTTTCTCCCGTTGACAGTGATTGGAGTTTGTTGTTGTTGTTGTTGATGGTGGTGGTGCGGTATCTTCATCACTTCTGTCTTCTCTATATTCACCTGAAGTCCCGTCTTCGCTGCCTCTTCTATCAACTTGTTAGTTTTTGCCTGCAGATCTTCAATTTGTGTGACATTAGGCATAAGTCATCGGCGAAATCCAAGTCTTCTAGGTTCTTTTCCGTCGTCCAGCGTATCCCCCTCTTCTCACAGCTCCCCACTGTTTGCTGCATGATCCAGTCGACCACAATCAAGAATATCATGGGGGATAGTAGGCAACCTTGTTTCACTCCTGTCTTCACTTCAAAGGCATCACTGAGCTTCCCATTGTGGATTACTTGGCATGTAGCATCTTCATATAGTTGTTGAATGAGGCGGATAAAGGTTTGCGGTACTCCGTAGTAGTGAAGCAGTTTCCAAATTACTTCTCGGTCGACGCTGTCAAAGGCCTTCTCAAAGTCGATGAAGTTGAGGTGGAGAGGTGATTGCCATTCTATGCTCTGTTCTATGATGATACGAAGCGTTGCAATTTGGTCTGCACATGATTTGTACTTCCTGAAGCCTGCCTGTTCCGGTCGTAGTTTTGAATCCAGTGCATCCCTTAGCCTCTCCAGGATGATGCGGCTTAATATTTTACTTGGGGTGGACAGGAGAGTGATTCCTCGCCAGTTCTTGCAAACACTGAGGTCTCCCTTCTTCGGGAGTTTGACAAGGTAACCCTTCTTCCAATCAATGGCCAGGTACCTTCCCTTCCTTCCAGACCTTCTGCAATAGTGGTGTGGTGTAAGCATGTCCGCTGTTGTCTCTGCATCTGTTCTCAGTGCTTCTGGCGGTATCCCATCTGGTCCTGCTGCTTTCCCGCATTTCAGTAGCTTTATGGCGTTCAGGACTTCCATTTTTGTTGGGGGATTTATGTTCACTTGTAGTTCAACGGCTGCAGGTGGTATTTCTGGACGAAGTGCAGGTGGTGGTGGTGGGCGATTCAAGAGCTTCTTGAAGTGGCCGGCCCATCGTTTCCTCTGTTTCTCTTCTTTTGTAATTAAATTTCCTTCTTCATCTTTTATTGGTTTCATCTGTGTTGGTCTATTCCCTGATAGCAACCTGGTTATTTGATACAATGTCGTCAGGTCTCTCTTACCTGCAGCCTGTTCTGCTTCACTTGCCAGTGTTTCGTAGAAGTGTCTTTTGTCTTTGCGAGCACTCTTCTTCACTTCTTTGTCCAGTGTTTTATACATTGTGCTCAGTTCCTCTTGTCGTTGAGCGTCCTTGCACTGGTTTATCTTCTGCTTCACCATCCTCCTCTCCTCTATCAGCTTCCAGGTATCTGTCGAGATCCATTCCTTGTCTTCTTTCTTCTTCCTTCCTAATACTGTTGTGCAGGTTTCTTTCCACATAGCTTTCAAAGACTTCCAGTGTTCTTCCACACAGGTTTCTTCAGGGATGTTGCTCGATGTCTCCCATTTTGTCTTGATGGCTGCCTTGAAGATCTCCTTTGTAGTTTCATCCTTCAGTTTCCGAGTGTTGTACTTGAATTGAGGTCTATCACCAGCTTCCTTGAAGGCTTTTAACTTGATTTGGAAGGTTCCTTGCACTAGATAGTGGTCTGAACCTACATCTGCTCCTCTTCTTGACCTTGTGTTAAGTAGACTGCGTCTCCATTTTCTTGAGATTGAGATAAAGTCGATTTGATTTTTAGTGTGTCCTGGTGTCTGTTGAAATCCATGTCGCTTTGTGGATATCCTTGTGCTTGAACACACTGCCTCCAATCACCAAATCGTTGAATGCACAGAATTCTGCAAACAATTCTCCATTCTCATTCATTTCACCTAGCGCCTCTCGACCCATGGTTAGTTCTCTTCCCGTGTTGTCCCCTCCCAGTTTGGCATTCATGTGGCCCATTAGAATTTTGATATCGCCAACTGGCGTCTTGTCCAGTGTTGATTGAAGTTGTCTGTAGAATTCCTCCTTTTTCTCTTGCTCTGCATTATTTGTAGGTGCATAACATTGTATGATTGTGACCTTTCTTCCTTTTGAGTTGAATCTTGCTGTCATGATCCTGGAGGAGATTGGTTCCCACTGCATGAGAGCCTTCGATGCTATTGGAGACATCATGATAGCCACTCTATAACTCAGTGTGCTCGTGGTTGTCGTCTGGGTGACAATATCGGGGTAGATTATTGATTCTCCAGTTGACAGTTTGGAGAGTCCACTCCCATTCCATCTGCTTTCGCAAATTCCAAGCACTTCAATGTGATACCTTCTCATCTCCTTTGCAATCTGGGCTGCCTTACTGGGTTCAAACATCGTTCGGACATTCCATGTCCCCACGTTTACTTTCGCTTTCATCGAGAGAAGACACATCGGCCAATTGGCTTCCCGAAGGCTTTCACCAACTGGCGTCATTTCGCCTCTCCGATTCCAGCGGGGAATAAGTTTGTTTTCATTTTTTATATTTTGTTTGTGCTTTGAAGTTTCTTTAGCGGTTAGATTTGTTTTACGGGGTAGGGTTGCTAGCCCTATGCCCAACCTTCCCTCTTTACCCGGGCTTAGGACCGGCTAGTAACTAGTAAACTAGTTAACCAGGCGAGGTTGTTATCCTTTTAAGATCTTATTTAATTATTTGGACTAAAACAAATGATACTGTGATGAGGTCTAACCTTTTTTTGTGTGTTTGGAGGAAATTGTTGTGTGCTCTTGATCAATTGTCACAACTGTCACTTTGACACCTGTAGATATAAGTAACGATACAGTCTGACTTCTCTGAAAATATATTTCTAACTATGCCTTCAAACTGGGTTACTTATTTTATGCTACCTATCTTAAATGCTACTAATTTCTTAAATAAATGCAAAGTGGGATATTCAAATTGTTTTGAAAATATTTTTTGTAAAGTGTAGTTGTGTCCACAGTAGAGTTTACGTATGATCATCCGGTCATATTGGAACATTATAAAAGAGTGGATAGTTAACAAATTG